AGTTGGCCCTCACAGTCAGGGTTGAAACCCCTGTCCTAAATGATCATTATGTCGATTGAGGTGTAAAACACCTACATTAAAAAAGAAAAAATTAAGGCGTGACTCTGGCACCCACTGTCAGCCTGGCATAGGTTTTAGATATATTAGGTTTCTTGTGTGCTTAACACGTCAACATTTTTTAATACTAGTTTAGGGGGGTAAGGGGGGGTTCAAACTATGTAGGTGTAATTCACACAACATCCGTTAAAGAAAAAAAGGATTACTTGATTCTGAGTAAAGGAGTTTTTACGTGCGAAATTGTATAGGTTTAGCGCCCCTAGAAACACCGAGGCTATTGACGAAGCGGTTCTTCCGAATTTGGACTGAGCCAAGTGGGAAATTTCGTGTAAAGCATCTTGCATCACGGACATAACTTCAGTCTAAGCTGAGCCTCGAACCCCTGAACTCGCAGTCTCACGATTTACGAGTCTGGTGGCCTGAACACTAAACTACCGACGCCACCAAATTGATTTTCCAGACAACGTTAAATTGATCCACAGAGGTGATTTTTTTTCCTCACACAGACTAAAGCTAGATTTAAGGGTGGTTGGTGGGTGAGCTGGTGTGGTTGCTCCCTTTTCCCAATCAAACATCCATTTATCGGCCATATCTCTCCTCTCTTTTCTTCCGTATGTTACTCTCTGGGTCTGGGGACACATCTAATCTTCAGCACTTACGTAACCTATTTCTGTTGCAAATACCGTACAACTATTTCTAAAATTAAACTAAAATGCAAGATTTCTGGCAAAGCGAAAACTCTTAGGTAAAAGTTATGGTGTGTTTCAGAAACCAGCATTATTACAAAGTAAAAGCTTTTCGATCCAGATGCAGGTAACGTGTATCAACACAGCAACATGACACGAGGGCCCAAAGTCAAAGAAGACAAGTTCTGTGAAATAACATAGATATATCTACAGATTACAGAATTAATAACACTGACCCAAAAAGATGGTCTTTATTTGTTTTCTTTCTTTTTCTATATCTGCAAAAGCCCAGATTCTCGCAGAACGTATGCTGGCAAGTAAAAGTTCTAGAGTACATCGCAAATCAAAATTATAGAAATAACATTATTTAGGCTTACATGTTGATCAAACAATATCAACACAATATTATATGTTAAAAGAAAAATATTTCGTAATTCTTAGCAAACGCGTTTCGTGAAAGATAAATATATGTACACAGATTATAAAATTATATTAATCCATACACGTCAGTTTATTACACGCGGGGGAAAAGCCAGAATTAAGTGTGTATTTTTTGTTGATTTCGTTTTTTATTATACAGAAACAAAGCTAGGATTAGTTAGGCTTTTTAGGGTGTTTTTTAAATTTTGGTTTTGTTATTTCTTTCACAAGAGAAAACCCAAATTCTGACAGAAGGAATATCTGGCAAACAAGAGCTGTTCATTATCGGGACAGGTTTATGACAAACGGGCAGGACAGTGAGAAGAATGAAGGGGGATAACAAAAATATGCTTCCGGTCATTCTTACGAGACCAGAATTTTTTGGCTTGTCTTCATTATGTAAATGGCAGTTTGCCAATTTGGCACATAATAATGTCGTGGGAGTGAATGGCGTGATTTCTTCGAGTTTTGCGTTTGGGATACCAGGTTTGCGTTTGTGTGTGTAGGTTCGTGTGTTTGTTGGGATTTATGTATAAGTGGTGAGTTTACATTTATTATCTGAGAGGGTGAGTGAAAAGGAAGAGATTGGGCGATACAATGGGAGAGAAAGCTATGGAGACAGACAGACAGACAGACAGACAGACAGACAAAGAGACGGACAGACAGACAGACAGACAGACAGACAGACAGACAGACAGACAAAGAGAGAGAGGGGGGAGAAATAAAGAATCAGAGAGAAATGGAGAGAGAATCAGAGACACAGAGAGAGAGAGAGAGAGAGAGAGAGAGAGAGGGCAGACAGAGAGAGGGAGGGGTGGGGGAGTGTAAAAGAGACAGAGATACTTAGAAAGAATTCGGGGCAACTTCCCTATCCCAACGCAATAACGTATAAACACATGACGAGGGCATCCTGTGAAAAAAAAATTGCGAGTTATGAGAAGCCACAGGTTAGCTCGCTGGATGGAGAGAACGGCGAAGAGGGGAAATTGAAGTGAGCAACCAATTCACTTTGTTGGGTAATGGGGCGAGAGGGTGTGCGCGTGCATGAGGAAGTGAGCGCGCTCACGACCTGAGTGCCCTGAATTTGAGGTCTTCGACACGTAGTGGTGCTTGTGCTTGTCGTTGTTTGCTGTTCTGTATTATATGATTTGTTTAGATAGATAGATAGATAGATAGATAGATAGATAGATAGATAGATAGATAGATAGATAGATAGATAGATAGAGAGAGAGAGAGA